GAATAATTTTCCTGATAAGCCTTCCTCTTAGAAGTTCTGTGGTGGTGTTCACAGGGGTCCCAGGATGAGGGAAGAGATGAGAATCTTGATTCCATGTTTCAGAAGGCTGATTTATTATTTTATGTTATATATTATATTAAAAGAAAATTATATATTAAAACTATACTAAAAGAATAGAAGAAAGGATTTCATCAGAAGGCTAGCTAAGAAAAGAAAGGAACGATAATAAAATCTTGTGACTGACCAGAGAGTCTGAGCCAGCTGACTGTGATTGGCCATTAATTAAAAACAAACACCTGACACCAATCGAAGATGCACCTGTTGCATTCCACAGCAGCAGATAATTATTGTTTACATTTAGTTTCTGAGGCCTCTCAGCTTCTCAGGAGAAAAGATCCTAACAAAAGGGTTTGTTATAAAATATGTCCATGACAGAAGTTTGTGTTTAAATTTTGAGCCATTTAAATGGGTAGAAAGAATATAAAAGTTCTCTTGCTCATCCCAAAGAGAGGTGCCCAGCAAAAGGCAGATTTTAGACTTGAATCTCCACTGTGAGTGGAGGAAAGACTAAAAATTTGTCTCATCTTACCATTACTACTGTGCCCAGTAATTAAGCTGAGACACCAGAAGCATCCACAGTAACTTAGCAGAAGTTTCTTCCACAGAGTTAAGTTGTTAATGACAATGGCTGGACAATTCTCTTCTTGATAGTCTAATCAGGAATATTTGCTCAAGCTTTTATATTCTAGGAATTTTTATTCTAGTGTTTAGTGAACCTAAATAAGAGCTAGTTTGAATTTTCCCACTGGATCTCCATGCTTACAATTTTGCCTGTCTCTTCCCAAGTTACCTAGCACTTCCTCCAACTGCAGAAGCCACTGAAATGATGGCAAGAACAAGCAAAATGTTGCGTGTAAGGAATTCTTTATGGGATTCAGTGTATGATCATCTCATGGCAGATGGAGGGGAAAACCCAACAATTCTCAACAACATTATAAACCTTGCAATGCAGGATTTACAAGATTTATAGAAAAAAGACTTTTCTTGAACACACTGGCGGAACAGGAAAGTACCCATGGGTCTTGAGTATGGAGTTAAGGGAAGGAGCTCCAGAAATCTGGTGTTGTGGTGGTTATTTCCTCAGGGATAAACCAAAAATCAACATCTTCCACATAACTGTGGTTAAGCCAGTGATGACACAAAGTTTATAAACTGACTTTTTTCCCCGTATATAAAACCAAAATGAGAGGATCTAGAAAACAGATGAGAAAAAAATTTCCTGCCTGGAGGTTGAAAGCAGATAAGGAAAGATTACAGAACTTTGTCTAGATATGAAGTTTTGAATAAAAAAACAGACCTGGAGCTATCCTGGGCCATCCCAGAGACACAACCAAAATGTCCCCTGCAGCAAATGCCCACAGCACACAATTATCTCAAACTAGAAAGGGCTTTGAAAGACTCAAACCCAAGTTCTTATCTTCCTTCACACCTCATGACTAAATCTCTCAACTATTTCCTCTGCAGCACCAAACAATTCTTCCCTCAATTACCCTTTCAAGGGGTTTTACTGATTTCTGTTTTTTTCATTCATGCAAAAAATGGTTATAAGGCACAGGAGGAGGCTGATGCCATTTCAGAGGCTCCCTGCTGTCCTTTAAAATATTAAAATGTTCTTAAAGAATCCAAAGCAAATTTTTGCTCTTCAAGAAGAGCAGAACTGTCACATCACCCCATTTTAATTCTCTATTTGGGTGTCCTGATGAACAGAACTAAGAATTTCTCCAATTTAATTTTCAGTGGTTTGAACTCCTTTATATCTTTACATCCCCCTTTTTCTATAAAGTATTAATGTGGATCTCTGACAGCACTTCAGGTTTCTGTTTTCTGGGTTTTTTAGATTAGTATCCTTGTTCCAAACTAAATGACTCAGCCACATTGGTTTTGAAATCTCCAAAGAGCTCTTGTAATTTTCTGTGCTCCCTTTGAGTGAACTCTACTATCTCAACATGCTGGCCAATTTTCTTCTCTAGTTCTTCTTCAGAACAAACACTGACATGATTCTGTTTCTTAATATATTCCTCTTTTTATCTAATTTGGTCTGCCTACACTTTAATCTAACCGTATGTATTGCTTAATTCCCTGCAGTACTTGAAATTCGGACTGTTATTAAATTGTCGTCAGTGCCTCTCCCTTAAATGGTCACTTCATTTCACCATAATACTTATGCAAAATGAAATACAAAGCACTATCCCATCTAGTCACAAAATGAGCCAGTCCTTCCATTTTTGAATCACTTTACTGCAATAGGGGATGTTAAATGAAAATCCTACTTTATATTGTTCTCTCTTGCCTAATAGCTAAGCCTCCTTCTTCAGTGTTTTGAGGAAGGCATCATTGTTCTCATTCAGAGGTTACTACTTTTTCTTATAAATCTGCTATTCTTCTAGGTCTTCAGGGGCTTGCTTCATTGCCTCAACACTTTCATAATTTTAATAATTTCTGTCTATCCAAAGTAAGTGACAACTGTTTGTCATAATGCATCATGACTATATTTTCAGACACTATGAAAATACTAATTAATATTATTACTGTTACTTCCTAGTAATACAACGTGGTGAAAATTTAATTCACTTTAATCCATTATCTCACCAAATTGGTTATCTTTGTAATAGGCAAATCTCCTCTAGTGATAGCAAGTATATTTTCATAACCTTATTAACCATTGCTGTATTTCCTAGATGGATTTCTGGGAGTGTCTGCCCTCCTCCCCATATCAGGACTACATAAATAAACTTGCTCATGGTATGTTGGAGCAGCTGTACCATTCCCCACATTTAAAGCAATGCTGCAGCTGGCCCTGACATTATGTATATTTTAACAGACTTTCCTGTATCACATTTACCCTATTTCCATTTCCAGAGAGCCAGACTATCTTCACAGCCTCATTTCTTCCTTTCACCTTTCTTGCAGGGCTTTATGCTTCCAGCCATCACTGTTTTATCCCTCAATGCCTCTGTGAGAGAGGGAAAGCTGCTCCTCATACAGGTCTCAGTTATCTGTGGGTAGAGGAGCCCTGAAGTGCCTTGATTCATCACAGGTGCACAAACATCTTTACTAGTTCCTCACTGGAAGCAGGGATGGGATAACACTTCAGCAGGTTCCACACCATCCAGCAGAATTCCAAGAGCTCTTTCCCCTTTCAGCTGATAAGGCTCTGATACAGGACATGGAGAGGACACATAAGCTGATGGTCAGGGCCAGTTCCTAAAACAACCCCAGAGCTTTGTGACCTGTCCCTCCTTAATGCTGCATCCAACACATCATGCCCTAAAGACACCCATGGTGAGCTTTCCATTCCTTGAAGGAAACTGTCGGGATTCCTGTTGTTGATTCCTCAACTTCTGGGACTCTGACTGGGCCCTCCCAGGGGGCTCCCGTGTCAGGGGAGACCCTCCTGGAGTGGTTTTGTGTCGGGAAAGAGAGATGCACTGGATCTTTTTGGTCTCCAGGTTCTTGTTTGTTGTTATCTTATCTAAAGTTTTGCACGCTGTCCACACCAGGCTCAGTGCACTGGAACAGCACCACAAAATGGCCAACAATCTCTTGTTCCAAGGTCTTTTATAGCTAAACTATCCAATTAAGAACTGACATGCAGATTATTTTCCCTTTTAACCCAATAACTGATCCCACTGAGCTGCAATGGGGACTTTTCTGCCCAATTACAAAATGCCACCCAAACCCATGGAGAAGGAGGAAGAAGAAGCATGAAGAAGAAACCCAGGATGACACCCTGTGCCCTCCATCTTGCTTCCATCCACAACACACTGAAAACCCCAAAACCTCAATTTCCCACCGAGTGACACACCTACACTGCTCTCTATAATCTATTTCACACTTTTCTGGATTCCAGTCTATCTTGGAGTTTAGGAAACTTTCTCCATGAATGAGGGTCAAAGTCAGTGCTTCCCTGGGGGCCAGGGCACCCCAGAGCAGACACGGAAATATTCCTGGTGCCACAGGAAATCTTCTTAACACCACTCCTCCCAGGGTTCTCAGACCACAGGGAGAGGAACTGATCAGAAATGCCAGAAGTCACCAGTGGGGAATGGAGGGACTGCCCTTGGACAAATCCCTGGCTCAACAGAGCCCTGGGTCAAGCCAGGCAACTCCCACGAGTCAGATTTGGGGGTTTTATAGTGCAGGTGGCTGGACATGTAGAACTGCAGGGTCCACAGTCAGAGCAGAGCTACCCCATGACAGAATGACACTGCCTCTCAACCAAAACTCCAGTTAATGGGTTGATTATATGGTTCATTTTTCTCCCTAAAATAAATAAAATACAAAAGCTCATGAGTTTGTACAGGATGGCCCAACCCAAATAATGAGTTAAGCCCAAACAGCAAAAGTTTTCCTTAAAAAAATTCTCTTGGGATTTTTCAGATTAATAAAGATTGAATTGCTTTGCTTTACCTTTTGAATTTTTTAAGGCCATTAACTCAAATGTTGAAGTTTTTCTAGAAAATGCAAGAGCTATACATTGTCTTCAGAGAAAGAACATGCAAACCAGACCCCACACACAGAGCTGAAATTTTCATGTGATTGCTCAATTCCAGAAAACAGAGCCTTAAAAATATATAAGACCCCCTAAAACTGTGAAAATCATCAGTGAGGCAACTAGGACTTCACATGAAAGCAGCAGAAGTATTTTCAGCATGAGCTGTGAAGGCACCATAGAGATTCAGAGAAAAGTACCTAGGTCTTTCAAAACCACATTGACTTCATGATGAGTCAGGAGTCACATTTTGCTGATTCAGGTACAGATCTTCATCAAAATAATTTAATTTAAAAAAAAAAAAAACATGACAACCAACAAACAAACAAACAAACAAACAAAAACGCCAAAAAACACAACAACAAAAAAAACGAGCCCAGAACAAGCAAATAAAAATCCCAAAACCTCAAATGATCAGAAACCAGTTACAGGGCAAAGAGGAGCTTACCTGGATCACTAAGAAATTCCTCTGAGTTGTTCCATGTCCTACCATCCAAGTACAGGGAGCCATTGGTGAAGTTAAACATGGTGTAATCCCTGACACATTTGTGTCTCAGGTTGCCCATGAAGAGCTGGAGGCCTATGAGGGCAAAGACACTCAAGCAGAAAACGGTCAGGATCATCACATCTGCAAGTTTCTTAACAGACTGGATAAGTGCCCCTACAATGGTCTTCAGCCCTAGGGAGATAAAAGCCGAGAGTTTATAGACTGAGAGACTGAAGTGTGTCTGCAGACAGCTGCTTTTCATGATGAAAGTCTCCATGGAAAGGGAAATCTGAAGGGCCGTGAGTGTGTGTTTGCAACTGGACGTCAGAAACGAGAGACAAGTGATCACTATGAATGTCTGGTTTGGCCTGGTCTTGGACAAAAGTCCTGTAATTGCACAAACACTGGCTTAAAAATGGAGGGGAAGAACTGGATGGAGGGACAGTGAGACGTGAAACTATCCATGGATAAAGAAAATATGGAATGCTTTATATTTTCATGGAGCTGCAGTAAAGGTGGTAAAGCCTAAATCCCATTGAATTTTGAGAACGTGAATTGCTTTTAAATCTCTCAGGTGATTCTGATAACTTTATCCCTCACATAAACAGATGAAGAGTTATGGAAATGCTGTTTATTCCCTGATTATTTTACATATTTTAGTGCCAAATCCAACATGCTGTCCTCATATGAATAATTCCTCTGCCTTCAATTCATTTGCTTAAGACAACAAGAATTTGGGATTAGAAAAAAAGCCAAATATAGGCAATCAAATAAATACAGTGGAAATTATTTGAGTAAAACAACCTGAGGCTCCAAAACTACCTGGGCAAAGTTAATCATTTTATAGTATGCTGCCAAAGTAGATAAATAATCCCATTGCATAACACCAAAGGCTTGGGTCACACAAATTAGCTTCTCTTTTATTATTTCACCCTTTAACACTAGCTTCACTTTATTCTTTTATAAATATTCAGATAAAAATAATTATACCGTTTTCTCAAGTGATAGTTATTGCTTTTGAAGTGTTCCTGGAGATAAGCACTGTTTGAGCTGATTGAATACAACAGAAAACCCCATTCCTTTTTAAAAAAAGACCCTTCTCCTCTAAACTGGTGTGCTGCAGCTGGACATTAATATCAGCTGCACATTGGTGGCAATTTTGTCATTTCTTTCCTATTTATATTTAATTAATACTGGCAAGCAGTAATAAGTGCTTCTGATAATCTGTGTCACCAGTATGGCAGCAATAAGAAAAATTGATTTAAATAGAAAAAAGGAAAATGCAAAGAGGAAACAGGAGGAATTCTCCTGGGCAATATTCAGAAGCACATTGATTTGCTCACTGAATATGAACACACATTAAATCTCAGCTCCTTGGAATTCCACCCCAAGAGTTTGGCAGCCACAAAGGCTGAGCTAGGGCTGCATAATTGGAAATAATGTGAAAAAGCATTTCAGGACTTATAGGAAAGCAAAATTAGCTTTTGGCTTTGATTAAAAACCTCTGGTTAGAGTGAGGGGGAACCAGGGTTTCTCAGATGAGGATGAGCTGCTGGAATGGCCAACAGGTGCAGCAGCCCCTGCATCCAGCCGCCTAAAATACTCCACTCCTGCATGGGATATCGCTAATCTGTGAATGACATTAACATCTGTAAAATGGCCCATTTAACCAAAAGGCACTGATCCACCATGTGTGGGGAGCTCACAGAATTCCCAGAATGACCAGGTTGGAAGAGAGCTTCAAGATCATTGAGTCCAACCCAGCCCCAACAGCTCAGCTAAACCCTGGCACCCAGTGCCACATCCAGGCTTTGTTAAACACACCCAGGGATGGGGACTGCACCACCTCCCCAGGCAGCCATTCCAGAACTTTATCACTCTTTCTGTGAAAAACTTTTTCCTAATATCCAACCTAAACTTCCCTTGGTGCAGCTTGAGACTGCGTCCTCTGGTTCTCTCAGTTCCTGCTCTTCCCCCTAAATTCTGTGTTTGCCTCTCCAAAATTAGTTTGTGGCATGGTAAAGAGGGTAAGGTTAGACAGCTCCCTGCTGTGCTCAAAAATAAGGAATAAATTCTTGCAGGACAAACATCAGGCAAAACCTGGATTTTCATGCTACGTCTCCTCCTCACCAAAAAGAGGTTTTAGAAATGAGGTCAGTTCCGCTCAGATACTTAGAAAAAGGCTGATTTGAATTTTTGAACCAATCTGTAGGCTTGGCTGCCTGTTTTCATGCCTAAATAAAAATAAAACTTCTTCTGCTAATCTAGCCTTGAGTAAATTTTTTACCTGAAGGGAAAGTAATTTTAGATGTAACCCAATTCTGAAAGGACTTCTGGCATGTCACCCTTGCCCAGCATTATAAGACCTTCGAGACAGTCAGGTATTACACAAGTAGTGAGGGGAGGGAAAATTTGCAAATAAACTAGAATTCTAAATTTTTTTAATCTAATATTTTGAAATATTTTTGGTGATTCTTATCATTGGTTGTCCTTTGAATGCACAGATGTTGCTTCACTGAAGTTGGTGAAACTTGGGAAATCCAAATGCAAAGTGAGTCTTAAGGAAAAAAATACTATGAATTATTTTACTGCCATACTCCCTGTGAAATCCCTGTAGAACATTTATTTGTTTGTAATACAAACACAAACTTGGAGCCTGTATTTGTACCATCTAAGTGCACTAATTAATCTTACTCATATGGGCAAGGACAATCTGAGTCCTAACATGAATAGGGATAATATTAGAGAAAAAACCCTACAAAAGTCTAGTAACCAGTAAAGACACTCTGTTTTCAAAATCAGGCCTCAGTATTGCCAATTTTAAGGTCATTTAATGAAACATGTTTTTCCCAGATTACTTACTGGACTTTTAAATAGAATAGCAATTCTATACTCTGTTTTATGAGTTCATTCCTTGCAGGTGTCAAATAATTTCTTTATGAGAGGGTTTTCTGCTTTACTTCCTTTTAATTTTGTTTTGTTTTGTTTTCATAGCTTATGAGCTTCTGAACAATTTAAGAAGATTCTTTAGTAATACAATTTCTGTAATTAAAGACCATTTAAAAATAACTTGTACTCTGCCTCCTGGACCTTTGTTAAAACTTTCCAGGAAAACCATTTGGAGAGTGCTATACTTACAGCTGAACTGTTTTTTATCACCCTTTAAAACCAAAATTTTCTCAGAAAATTAAGTAGCATCCATCAAGGTGGTTGACACAACCAAGTGCCAAGGCTAAGGAGAATATTTAATTAATTGCTAATTTAAACTATCTGTGCCTCTAAAACAGAAGGGCTGAGGGGAATTAAGGACACTCAGGACTTCTTGCAGGTGCTCTGCATCTCTCTGAATCAATCCCATGTTTTGTAAAAGCAGTGCTAGATGTATTCAAATTTAGAGCACGGTTAAATCTTCTGGAGAAATAATCCTTCTTTGAAATAGTGCCAATGAGAGCACAGCAATATAGCTTAATAGAAGATATTATTTATGGGGCATTAAAGGCATTTACTTAATTCTTGCAAGTCAAACATCAAACCAGGCAGCATGCAGGAAAAAACCCGAGGATCTGATCCAAAGCTGAGTAACATCTACAGCTGTTAATAACAATGGGTCTATAGATTACTCCCTGTGGAGTAAATCAATAACAGGCTTTTTCTGAATCACTGACTTCTTTCCACACCTCTGGGCCAAATCCTGCTTGCATGACATGAAAAAAACCATGAGATCCAAAATCAGTGGAATGAGGGCTGTGTAGGCAGCCTGACATCCGCAGAGAGCAAAAAGAATTTGGCCCAAATGTTCCTGTTAAGGCAGGTAGAAATTATCACATTCAGAGGTTAATCAAATAATCATTTTTCAAATGCAAATCAGAAACCATAGAAAATGCAAGCAACACCAAACAATGAGAAATGGCAGGATCCCAAAACACCATCCATTCCTTATGTGAGATGTGAGGAAGTATTAGCATAATTCAGTATGACATCCATACCAGATGTTGGCAATCACCTACAGAACATCAGACACATTCATGCACAATCTGGAAACAAGTGGGAAGAAGAAGAAAAATAAAAAAACACCAAAAAAAAGGAAAAAAAGAGTGTGACTTGCAGCAGGGTTGTCCTCATCGAGCCCATTCCTTTCCCTGAGGATACACCTGTGTCCCGTAAATGTCTGCATGAGTCACAGGCATGTAGGGAGAGAAGGGCTCACCCTTGAGGAGTGCATTTTGCCATTACTTACTGAGACTTGGGGCAGCAGAGAGTTTAACGACCTGTTGGCAAACTTGAATTGGTGTCAGCATTCCTGCAGGCTGGCTTAGCGTGGAAAAGTGACTGACAGGCCAGTCTCCAAGGAAAACACAAAGATGCCATATGTTTCTCACCTCTGGGGTAGCTACTTCTTGAGTTAAGTGATTTACCCACCAAAAGGGTGACATTTATCTCCCTGCAGCAGGATTTCAGTGCAGTGAACGGGGGTCAGTCTCCTCCACACAGTCTTAATTCTTGTTCTCCGAGCTCTGTTCTGGCTATCACAGAGGCACTGGATAACATTCACAGCACTATTTATAGCCTTTAGTCTCACACTAACTTAAATGGGAGCTGGATCAGGCCCCAAAGTGCCTTGGCCCAATTTTCTATGAGGTCACCTTTCCCCGGTACCCTGTCGTTTCGTGTGAGGCGTCCGTGGTGTGCACGCCTGCTCCAGAAAGAGCAGGGGAGCTTCTCTGGATACAGCTGCACTCAGGCAGTTTTCAAAATCCTGGGGATGATCATGAGGATTATGATGATGATGATGATGATGGCCTGCTTTTTGTGGCCTTTCGATGGAGAGAGTGTACCTCAGGGTTTATATTATCTCAATTAGTACTTATCAAAACATCGGTGATTTCCATGAGGGTAAAATATGATTCAAGACCCTCTGTTGTTGTTCCTATTGAGTCCACTGGGATTTGGATGCTCTGGTAATGGGATGCTAATGGGAGACAAATGAATGGCTTCAGTGGGTTGTTCTGCTGCTGACCATGGTTCCTATCTAGCTAGAAAAACAAATGAATCCAGTTGCCATGGGAAACATGCAAGACGCCAATTAGTAAATCAAATCACTGAGAGTTAAGGGTTTTAAAATGCTCCCATAGAGAAAATGTTACCTATTTCTAAGCACCTGAACCTGCACAAAGCTTGTTTTCCTCTCAATATCACCGGCAACTGGAAAACAGGAAGAAATGGGTGTGCTCAGTGCAGAAAAGGGAAAATTGAGGGGTTCCATGGAGGTCTTCTGGCATGTTAAGGGCTGCCACAGGAGATCAGGCACTGACCTGATGCCTTACACAGCTCCAGGGGAAAAAAGAGAGATCTGATGAAGCAAGAGAGAGGGAGGCTGCATCCAGCAACAGGACCTGCAGGTCCATGCACATTCGGAGCAGGAGATATTGGCATTCTGGCACCCAAACTGAGCCCCAGCTCTCCAGTGGGAGGGAAGCTGGCTGGTAGATGCCAACGTTTGTGTTGTTGGGTCTGGATCTGAACCATCCACCTGGGACAAATCTTCTAATAACAAAAACAATGAGTCACTGGAACAATTCCTGGCCTTCTCAGGGAGACCCTGGGGCATCCACCTTGGAAGGGCTTCTCAAAGAAGCCAGGCAATAAATACCAAGTCATGCTTGAGCTGTGCTAAAGGCAGCCTTAGGCCAGGGGAACGGACTCTGAATTTAGGAGATCTTTTTCAGCCCTTAGAACCCGTGTCCCTCTAAAGATCCCTGTGCCTGCTTGAGCACTTAGAGCCAGACATTAAAGGCAGGTGAGATTTTTAAAAGCACTAATTGTCAGCTTTACTGACTCCCCCTGGAGTCAATAGAGAAACTCATTGATTCCGAGTGAAGCAGAATGCCTTTGAAAAGCAGCCTCTAAGTGCTTTGCTGGACACAAGCCTCACACCACCAGGACTTGGCCCGTGGCTTTCTGTAAACAATTTCACTGAGCACGCGGAGTCCGAGCATGTTTGTGCAAATAGAAGTGCCTGATGGAAAAGTGATCAATTTTATTGAGGGAAAGCTCAGATGTTTCCAAAGGAAAATACAACTTGGTGTTTTTTCACCTGAGACGTGAAAGAGGAAGCAAAAATAACAACCACCTTCTCCTCTCTATGGCAATTAACCCCAAAAATCTCATGAAAGATGCTAATGATCATCATCTTTTCATTTTTAAGATTGCTGGGGGAAAATATTTCACCTCAGCATAAGCCTATGTTATCATTAAAAACTCAGACTGATCTCCAGAGAAACCACAGCATCTTGTCCAATATATCTTTTAAAATATATATGCCTAACTGTAAGATGAACTGACTCCTCTGAAATTATCTGCTAATATTAAAAAAAAATCTCCACCTTGTCTGTTTTTCACTGGCAGCTATGGCAATTTGTAGCTCTCCACATTTGTAATTTAATACTCAGGGCACAGGTAATCTTGGTGATAAAATCAAAGGCCAGATATTCTATTAGCATGTTACATGCAGTTATGTCACCAAATAATTCAGGAACTTGTACATAAAAATGCAGTTATCAAAAAAACTAATCAAATATTCAGTCAGAATGAAAAAAGAGGATGTGAATTATTATGCATTACTTTAATAAATAACACTTCTTTTTTTCCTATTAACTAACAAATGGAACAACTCACTGTTTAATATCACTGAAGGGTTTTGGTGTATTTGAATCTGGATATTTTGAATCTCAGCACTCAATTTTTCCCCCACTAAGTCATATCTCATCATTTGATGTAAAACAAGCTTCAGCTCCTCCTCTGATATAGGACAGCAGAAAATTGTTATATATATATATATATATTAATAACTCAGAAAAATGGACATGCTCTGCTCTGAAGAGGCTCAAGCCTGAGACAAGATGAAAGGTGAAAGGTGGCCCCTGGAGATGGATGTCCCTCCAAGTTAAATCTTCAAATTGCTACAGAGGAATCTAGGAAACAAACTCGCCTTTCTCTCTGAGCAGCCACTGTCATCTCACAGCATCTGTAAAGCTGTGCTCAGCTCTGTTTCCACAGGAAAGTAAAAATCCTTTCTCAATGGAAATCCTGTTGGAGAAAACTTAAAAATCCCCACAAATCTCTGCTAATAGATTGTTCTTTAAAACGTAAAGACAAAAATTATGACAGGTACTGGTTTCAAGGACCTAATGAATCTCTTTAAATTCTGTATTTGGACACACACTTCCAATGAAAAGTACTTTTCTTTCCCAGTAATTTCCCTGATTTCCATTACTGTGGTATTGGAACGAGGAACCAAATTGTAGACCCAGATATATATTTTTTCTTAACACTTCCATTCCTGAATTCTCATTTCTAGCTCCATGTGGTGATGAGTTTTAATACATATCCCTGCAAGTTTACCACATAATTTGTTTAGATTTGTTATTATTAGATTGATATTATAGTGTATAATAGAGTGGGTGGAAAAGCCTTTCTAACCTTAAAGATCTGTGAGTGAGAATCTGAGCAGTTCTCTCGATGTTTTGAATATTTTTAACATGTAATTGCCAACATCTGTTCAGGATTATCACAGATAGGATCTACCATGCATGGTTTTTGCTATCTTCTCTACCTTGTCATGCAGGTTGGAGATGTTAAACACTGAGGCTGAATGAGACCTGTCCATAGATAATGCTCAGCAAGAAAGTTTTGTTGCATGGTTAGTCCTCAGTGGACTCAACTCTGCATAAATTACATAAAAATATTTTTGTTTTAATAGTAAGAGATTATATAAAGGTCTTCTTTCAGTACCATATATGTAGTAAAACTGATTTTTCTTCTTTTTTTTTTTTTTTGTGAAGAGGGAGAAATCATATCCTTGACAATATGAGAAAACATGAGTTGAGGAAATGCCGAACCTACCTAAATAAACACTGAAATGCTTTCCAATCTCTTCAAGGCCCAAAATTTCAGCAGTGTTTATATCACATGCAAATGGATAAACACCATGACAAATTAGGCTATCTGTGCCTGCAGTCTTGAAACCTCAGCTCATAGCACGGATTTAGATTCCTCTATCGATGTGCTCTTAAACATGAATATGCATTCTGAGGTCATTAACCTTCCATTTCTAAAAATCAATATACGAAGGTTTTAAAAGATTTTCATTGCCATCTTCATGGGGTTCACAGATGAGCACTTTATGTGTGTGATTCACGAGCCACTGTTCTTACTGCAGCACTTGTGAGCTCTGCAATTTTGGAGGCACTCTCATTCCTTCTGCCCGAAAAAACCATTTTGGAAAACCATGTAAAAAATACTGTATTCTATTGACAGGTCACATTCCCTACATTCCTCCATTTCCTGATCAGTATCTATGGTTAAGTCTTTGGTAATTACAGTGTTTATTAGTGGAAATGGCATGTAGGCTTTAACTGCAGCCCGAGTGTTTAACCTGATTTTCACCTGAAATGACTGAGATTGTTTTCAGCGCCCGCAGCACTCTGAACGTTCGTAAGGCTGAGACATTGCCCAGGTCCACAAATTCAGTTATGTATCTGTAACAAGGGAAAGTCACACACAGACAATGACAAAACACCAGCCAAAAAAACAACAATCAAAGGGACAAAGAGAGACAGAGAAAGAATCACTTGTAGCTGAGAGCCAAAACGTAAGGATCAGGGCGTCTTACCTGGGATTACTGAAATAGTTTTTAAAGCTCTCAATACCCTGAAAGTCCGAAGAGGTGAAACACTGCCTACATTCACAAATTCTCCTACATACCTGTAGAATTAAGTCACAGTTATTTGGAATTATACAATAGAGTATGAGACTTGTCTGAATGTAGAAAGCATTCATACACAGTGGGAGTGAACGCAGCCAAGTGAGAGGTGCATCCACTTTTCAGGCTGCTCTTTGATGCCATTTGCCCCAGGTTTTTATTAGTGCACATCATTTCAAATGCCACTTGAACTATTAAACTTTTTTATTACGCATCCATCCTTTAAAACTACTGGGTGAACTCTGTTATTGTGCTGTTCAGCCACAAATACTTTAAAGATTTTACCATCATGTAGTTGAACAAAAAAATAAAATTCTTTACATTATTGGAAATATTAAGAGTTATTTTGCTGCTTCAAATACTCAAGCAATTTTCACATAATAGCTTTTGAAAACTACATATAGGACAACATAGCAAAATAGTTCAAACATTTCTACTGGGTTATTTAGTTTAAGATGCTGTAGTTCTGTGGTAAAGCAAATTTTGGTTTCAAGAGATGCTTTAAATTGTATTTTGTTTTATATATCAATTTCATGCCCTTTGGCTGTGGGAAGATGGAGTCTAAATGCATATAACTGCCATCCTACTAAAAATTCTTTATTATTAAAATACCAGTCTCAGCTGTTCCCTGCCTTGCCTCTCTTGGTCATCCTGGGGACTCATCACATCCGAGCTAAATGCTCCCAGGAGGGAGCATTCCAGTCATGGAATGAGCTTCATTTAATCAGTGTTGTACAAAATTATTTCCTCCCAGTCTGTATGCAGAGAAACCATAGTCACCACTGTATCCTCAGAAAAAAAGAGATCTTGGACCCTTGAATTTTTCTTCTAAAATTCTACCAAATCTCATTCAACTGCCCTACTTCTCTGGGGCCTTTGTTTCTAAATGTTACAAAAAAACCTCACCTGGTTATTTTAAAAAGCCTGCTTAAGTGGCCTTTGTCCAAAGGCCCCTGGGGAGGACAAAGCATCCTCTCCATATCTACTAATCCAGATTACAGCCCGGAAGAACAACATTGCTTCTCTTCATAATCTCACAGGGGAGTCTGGGCAATGATTTACCTGTTTCCTCCCCAGCTTTACCCTGTGCTTCTCTCCCAAATTCTTCTTCAGCATGAAAAGTGGAGCAAAAAATAATTTGGGGAGAAGCACTAGGATGGGAATATGGTTTTGCTGACCAGAGATTTGTAAAGACACATTATTAATATGTGAACAAGCATATGAAGCAGATAATACTGCTGCCCATAGTCAATTAGGATTTATTTTGGACTTTTATTTTCTTTAAAATGCTGCTGACCAGTTCTTCTGTACCAGGGAGTGAGAAGTAGCTGGAATTCCTATGCTGAATTTTCCCATTAGCCAGGGAATCATTTACTGCCTTTAAGATTCTGACAGGGCACTTCCCAACCCAGAGCTGCCTCTGTCTCATCTGTCCTGCAAAGAGGAAGGCACTAGTCTGGGAGAGAGGGATCTAAACAAGGGCAGTTTCATAACTTCCTTTGAACCCATCCCTGACCCCAGAGAGGGTCACAAGCCATGGCTGTGTCTGCTGGCACAGGACAGGAGAAAAGCCCTGGAGACCTGCAGATCATCTTATTCTCCAGTGTGCTGTTTAAAACAACCCTCTGTGGCCAAATCTGTGCTGTTTCTGCCCAAAAGAGAAGACAAGAAGCTATTTTGCAACAACTCTAAAGCAAATGATGGCCTTCCCACTGCAGCAATTTTTTCAGTGAAATAACTGTATTTTCTGTTAGCACAAAACCCTCGGTCCATGTGAATCTCACGGCCCCCTTATCAGGCTCCTCCATTTTGAATTCCCAGCCCATCTTTGTTTGCAGATACAGAAATACCTCTGGCAGCACACAGGCTACAAGCAAAGACAACACCAGAGTTACCTGTGTGATCCATCTTACTTTAAATTACTTGCAAATTGGATTTGTATGAAGGCTAAATCGTATCAGAATAGATTCCATTATCCAGGTCTCTGTACTATCTGCTGCTTGCATTCTTGGGAAGGAGGTTTCATTGTACATATGAAGATCATATTGCAGCCACTTTTAACTCTCTCACTGCTGCCCATTGACTCAAGGAAACACTTTTCCATTTCTTTTTTTAAGCCAGAATTCCATTTATTTTTCTCTTCTTAAAAGCTTGGTATAATATGTCTTAAAGTAAGAAACAATAGGAATGGATTCTGGTTCTGAAGAAAAATAGTTTGAAATTAAAGAAGTCTGATTGTTCACAGCTGTAGGTCCCCTTGTTATAGGGATGTTCTAACTAAGATGTGAAATATCATTTGGAAAGAAAATCAAAAGAAGTTAGGAGAGAAAGCACAGAATCCCAAGCCTCTCATAAGAAAAGGATTCAAGGATTTTTTATGATCCTTGGGCTGGAGCACTGAGTGGCCATTCAAGTGTAGAATTAGAAAATAAAAAAAGAGGGGCAAACCCACAACCTGTGGGCACCAAATCCTGGTTCCTACCAAGAGGGAGTGAGCAATTCCCCTGTAGGTAACTGTCCACCTCAAGGTCTATGCAAACATTCTCATTTTTCCTACTCCCTATATCCCAAACACCCAGAGATGATGTAGAGACAATTTAAGGGGTATTCAGACCATGTCCCCCACTGAGTGTTCAGACCTGAATTTCAGTCTGAGATGCCCCCAGAGCTGGGGGAGATGCCTCAACCTCTGCCCAAGCTGACAAGATGAGGAGAAGCAGATGCATGATCAAAGCTGGAATCTGTGGCTCCTCTTGTCCTTTTCTCTGCTCCTTTCTACCCTCCTGTCAGAAACCTCCTTCCTTCTAGGAAAGTGAGAACCCATGCACAGAAATTCTCCACACAATGCTGAATTCTGAGACCTACAAATAAACTCACATCCTAACTCACAAACAGATGGGTGATTATGCCCTGCTTTTACCACCTGCCTGATGGACAGGAGAGCAGGATGGTGACTCTGTGGTGTTGTCCTGCCACTAAAAGTTGCAGGAGAATTGCACTTAGCAATGCTTGAGGAAAAGTTTAGCTGCGAAAAATACCAACTGTGTGCTGACCTCCAAAAGATTCTCCCCATCTGCACTGATTTGTTTTTTTAAAGGCTTATCATAGTGGCCAGATGTCAGTTCAGCCAAATCCATAGGAATGTAGCAACAGATACCAGGACCTGGCCTAGGGCTGGCTTAGATCCAAAGCCTACTGAAATAACTGGGAGTGCTCCTGAGGAAGCTCACTTAGGATTTACACACCTTCAAGCTGTTCTGCTACTAAGAACCACAGAATTATAAAATATCTCCAGCTATGGGAAGGGACCTATAAGGATCAAGAGGGCAATTCCCTGCTCCTCACTGGACTACCGAAAACTAAACCAGATGACCAAGAGCATCATCCAGTGTCTCCTCGAATACTGGTCTTGATCCTTGTGCCCTGATAGAGTTGTGCTTTCAACTTCAGTGGCCCTCACTGGTGTTTTAGCTAATTTTGGTTGAATATTCTCTCCTGATTTTGGTTCCATTCAAATTTCACAGCCCCTGGAGTTCAGCTCAGATGTTGGTGTTAACACACTTGAATCTCACTTAATGCTGTGAATTATGGGGGTTAAAGATAGCATCAAGAACTAACCTAAACCCAGAACTGAATACAGGCATCATTAAGCAGAAAAAAGCCAGGGAGATCAGATCAGATCCTTCTGTGTTTAGGAAGTGGAACCTTTCAGGCACCTCTACCAGCTCTCAGTTCAAGATGGCACTCATTCTTTGCACAATTTTCTCTTTTGTGACTAAGAAGAAATGTGGATTTCTCTCGTAGCTGGAGCACTGACAGTGTCAGACCTCTGCCTTTGGCTAGAGCTTGGGCTGACCCTGAGTCCCCTGCGAGTGCTGGCTGACTGCTTCTCCACCCCTGTGTATTTTTAGCTGTCTGGATGTTGCAAATCCATCACCTTCTTCACAGCACCAGAACACCACGTGTCCTCAATGAACTCTAACAATCTAGGCAGAAGCATACAGCTGAAGGGGAATATAATGGTGGAGGCCAAATTTCTATTTCCAAGATATACAACAAGTTTCAGAGGACTACAAATTAATTCTCTGTAGTAAAATAGTAATTACTTTCCAGGTGAAAAGGGTTTGTGAAAACAGGGATGTGAAAACAGCCCTGATGATATGATGGATAGATAGAGTATAAATAGGGATTTAAATACGTGGGTATTCAGTCACACTTACAACACTTTCTATTCAGGGGTCTGGAGCTTCCCAAAACTACATTAGATAGGCAGATATTATTACAGATATTTTACAAACAGATCTCTCTGTGGAGCACAGAGAGTGTAAATAATTTCTCCAAAATTGTGTGGTGAATTCAGAGAACAGAACTGAGAATTCCTCTGACTTCTTCCTCTGAAACCACTCAGGATAAAAATCCTCCTTCCTAATAAACTTCAGACTTTTCTTATTTTCAGTAAAATTTGAGTGAAGAAAAAAAGCCCAGCCAGACAACAATTTAAAAAGTTCTATTGCATATAACTCTCTTGAAAAATATAAAGGAGAGCTACTTACGCCATAACAATAACACTGAAATCCAGCCAGTTCCATGGATCCCGAAGGAAGGTGAATTCTGTCATGCAAAATCCTCTTGCCAATATTTTTATCAATGACTCAAAAGTGTAAATGCCAGTGAAAGTGTACCTGGGGAACAGAGTGGCCAAAGAAGAAAGAGAATTAGCAAGCAGCAGACAGCTGAAACTGCAAGGGCACAACTCTGGGGCTGCTCGTGTGAGTCACAGCTGCAGCACTGGGCTGAGCATGAACAGCCTTGTGTGTGGAACAAGGAACAGGTAAGGAACAGCAAAATACTCAGGACAGTCTCAGAATGAAGATAATTTCCAGCACAGGGTGTCCCTTGATGAATCCTCACTCATTAAGTCAAGCATGGACATGACACTGCAAAGCTGGGCTGTGGGACATCTGAACCTCTGACATCTCCAGTGAACCAAGAGTGGATTAGGGAATCATGGAATGGTTTGGATGGGAAGAGATCTTAAAAATCATCTCCTCCAACCCCCTTGCCATGCGCAGGAAACCTTCCACTAGACCAGGCTGATGAGAGACCCATCCAACCTGGTCTTGAGCACTGCCAGGGATGGGAAATCCACAATCTCTCTGGGCAGCATTATGCCACACTCCTTGTTTTTCCAATTGTAAGGAGGGTGGTTGTTCCATTCATACTTCTCATCTCTTCCTGCCCAAGACATTTTGGAGATTAAGAAAATGCCACCACTTGTTTTTATCAGCTAGAAAGGGTAATTCTCCTTCAAGTTCCCTTGTGTTTCACTATCCCTGCCAAATCCCACCAGCCTTGAGAATTAAACAACAAAATGCCCTCACTGAAAAAGAATTGAAAAACTCCCACCTGACTACTGTATGTAGTAATTTTTACCTGCCTGACAGTAAAGGAGACGCAAGGCTAGTTTTTTTCCCCCTAGTAAATTAAGTTTTTACCAACAGCCTCTTGACTGTGACAATCTGGGCTAGAACATAGATTTTACCTTTCATAATAAAGATGACACTTGTAATAAAATTTAGCCAAATCTCTGTGGAGGACAGTAATGCCTCTGATTTATAGCCCTCAGATCTGCACTCACCCAGGGCTCTACCTGCCATCAGAGATAGAGTTCAGGGCATACAACAACTCTTTTTTAATGTTGCTGCCCACGACACCTAGCCCAATGGACTGGGTATTCTAGGTCATATCTTAACAAAATAAATAAATGTTTAGTGTCTACCATGGGCATTCCCTACCCCTTTTCTCCTAATGAAGATGTAGATGATACCAAAGCCTATTAAAAAACCTCAAACACCTCAAGTCCACTAAAACACAAATCTCATAAGTCATGACGTGAAGGGCTGTCACTGGAAGCACTGGCTTGTGTTTTCTGTTCAGTGCCTAAACATCAATTGGTGCCATCACACATGAAAAAAAAAAAATGGAACAGTTCAGATTCCTGTTTGGTAGAAAAAAGGTGTGAGCAATTGAAAGTGGCAATATAAGGAAGAGCATTATGTATAAAATATATTTAGCTCTATTACACTGAACTGCAACTGGTCAAATACACAGATATCATGCCCTCCTGCCATCATGTCACATTGTAGAGCTACTCACAGGTTATAAAATCTCAGTGTGTTTCATCTTAAAATGGGGATTAGCCTGACAGTTTGGGTACAGCAGTGGGCATTAAATGTGTCTCACAGCTCCTCTTTGACCATATACCTGAGCATTATCTTGTACCCAATTTTTTCACAGCTCCTATTTAGCTTTGCTCTGGTATTTCGAATATAGGTCACCCATGTGACAGTCTCTTCAAGCATGTGTACTTAGTAATACACACAGAAAACACATGCAAAGAACTAAAAAAAAAATACTTAACAGTACATAAGCTCATTAAAATGATAAAGCACTTGTATTTATTCAGCATGTCAGATGGGTTTAATTGATTGTATAATCATCGTCTAATTCTAAATGGATCGGGGAAAGTCCTCCAGCAACTGAACAGCTTCTTTAACAACAAAAGTCAGGGTTCTTAAAAAAATTTTAATGGGGGAAAGTTGAATTGATTCCTTTTTTTTTCAAAATGGTAAGAAAAATGCTTTAAAGGAAGATCTAGGACAAATATTTGCACAAGGTTATTCTTCTATCCCTTGTGAGTCTCTGAAACAGCAGAACAAAGTGGATTAAATGTATCTTCTCCAAATCCAATATTAATCAATTTGAATTACAGTTCATTGGGTTATTTTGCTCCTCCAAAGTACTTGACTTTGATTTTATTCCATGTACTTGAGGAGGAAAAGCTGAGAGATATGAGGGGACACAGGAGAAGAGGAAACATGGAAGGATTCACTCCATGCTGTATGAGTCCATCTGCATTTCTGCTCTATGTTTTCTGCATGCTCTGCTTGATGCATTGATAAAATCATCCAAATTCTCCTGCTTGCAGAAGGCACAATATTATCATTTATGGCATTTCCCTCCAGAATGTTTGAATTCCCAGCTGTACACCAACTGGCCAAATTTTGATGAGATCATCACGTGGATGAGATGTCTGTGATTCAGCAGAAAACATCGTGGCAATGGTTATGAAATTTTTCAATAGGAGAAGGACAACATAAGGGGGAAGGACAGCCACAGACACACTTGAGGGTACCACACCCTGGGATTAAAATGTTATTGTGATGGGATGAAATATTTGGTTCAGTGCTGCCTATAATTAGTAATTTATGGCCTAGAAGATGTGCCCTGCATGATTTTGTGGAACCTAAATAAGGGCATTTTACTGTCTTTTCTTACAGCCCTGGGTAGACCAACCACCAGGCTATGAAGCAGCAGATGGCATTTATCATATGTCAGTCAAAAATAAAAAGTGTGTTCTGATTGGTTCAATGAGCCAAAATAATTGTTTAATGCACTGTAGGTTGATTAGCTTGTGCATCTGGTATCTGTTTCTAAAAGGAATATTTTTAAGCAACTTAAAGAAATGAAATGGGTTTTCATTTCACTGAGGTCCCTTAACCTCTTTAAAAATTAATTTTAAAACCCACAACAACAAAAAATAACCCCCTTCATGCAGCACCTTTGCTATTTTTCCTGAAGGCTTGTCAATCTAAAAAGACAGGAATTCTCATAGAGGTGTTCCTAGATAATTTAATGCTCATAAAGTATTCCTGCCAATGATTACAGGGGAACACTTCTCATGCTGTGCTCAGTCCAAAAGGAAGTTTTGCTTCCATTAAGTTTCAGATCAAGGATAGAACTAAGTCAGCTCAGGAACTATTCCCTGAAATAATTCAACTTAAGCTCCATCAGCCTATTCTGATGCGTCCAACCATCAAATCTGTTGCATGTGGAAGGCTGACAAGTTTCAAACAGGGTTGTCCTCAATACGTGATTTCATCCAGATGTGGCACGAAAGGCGCCTTTGGCAATAAGCATGAGATTCATACACCAAAAATATTTACTTTGCTTACTAAGGGAGTTTTCACAGGCTAAAACAACTACCTGGAAAAACATTTTGTGAGGGCAGACACCACAGTCAATACTGCTGGAAAGAAATTAGACAATAGCAAACAAGATGCAAACAAGAACACAACAAAAGGAAGAGGAAGGCTGAGGTGAGGATGGGGCAGCTGTAAAGGAAATACTTACTCAACATATTTATTCCATGACGGAGTCTCTGATTGTGCCATGAACACACAATTAGTTAAAATAGTGCACATAATAAACATACTGAACAATGTAAAGAGTAAAATTAAGGAAAACAACGCATTTGATACAAGGCTTCATAAATTTTTGTCTTTTCACACAAGATGTGACAGCTCAATCACAATTTGCAAGTTGCTTCAAGAACTATAAGGATTTGTTTGCAAGTGCATTGGGAGACAAATAATTATATAAACATAGAAAAATGAAACAACTTTCCCTGCTTTTTTTTTTCTTTTCCTATATCTTTTAAACATACTTTATACAGTAAACAAAAGTACTGACTCTGCAGTCCTTTGAAAGTACAATACCCCAAATTTACAGCTGTGCTGGTCAGATGACAATGTGCATAGGTGCACAACTTTGTATGAAAAGAGGGATTAGTCTCATTTAAGTATCCACAGAAAAACCTGTGTCTGCAAATTCCCACTTCATTTTTTATCCTGAAACATTTCTCAGGCAGTAGGGGAAAGTTACAAATCTGGTCTTTCTAATCTCTTTAATGGGCTTGAGGTCTCGCTTTCAGCATAAGTTTCACCAAAAGCAAGTATGAGATTCAGAGCACTGATTTTAAGGCTTGGTCTGCAAACCTGCTGGGCAAATAGGCAGCCTTGGTCTGCAGGGCTCTCTGCCTCTGCTGAGGGACCAGATTCCCTATTTGGAGGCTAAAACAAGCCTCCCAAGCGCACAGTTCACACACTTGGCTGCTAAGCTGAAACCATAAACATAAAAAGCACCCTAAATCAAATTCCTGAAATTGAAAACATAATTCACTGGATGGCTCTCCTAAAAGCACATGCCTCTTTCTGTAAAAAAATTACAAAATATGATGGGATTCTCCTGCATCAACAACTGGTCTCCTGCAACCAGGAAAATCTAACCACAGAAAATAAGGCAAACAGCCTGCAACCCAGTCAACAGGCAGGGACCCTTCCCTGGGAATATAAGTCAAACCCAAAACCAAATTTCTTTTGCCTTTTTTTGAAAAGATTAAAAAAAAAAGTTAGGCTTGGTTTGGTTTTTTTCATCTCTGTAGTTGATCCTGTTTGTGTTATTTTTTGTTTGAGAATAGTGATTGAAGGATTTCGTTTCAAACCTACGTCCTGAAATGTTTGCATTAAATTTATCCTCTTGCAGAGCCAAAAATCTCTGATGAATACAGAGTGGAACGTTTTCCAATGGGCCACATAAGCAACTGCAAGGTTAAATTGGTAGTAACCAACCTGAGGATTCCCCAGGGCCACCGCAGAAGGCAGTAATTGAACTCACAGGGACTGCTCATCCCACAAACATCTTCCCCTTCTGGGCCAACACCTCCTACTGAAGGGCTGCCAAGGATGTCTGATACCCGCTCACATTTGCTCACATCAGCTTCAGATATATTTCTGTAAGTTTTGTCATTCTTGTTAACATAATTATCAAGTTCCAGCTAGACTAGAAAACACTAGATTACTTTTTCAACTCTGGTGAAGTGCTGTGGATGAAGCACAGGAAAGCAGAGTGCTATCCTCAGACCATGTCAAACAAATAGCATATATCAATTCCAAGAAAATAAACTCCTCTATTGGTAATTAGGGTCACTGGTTTGATCTCTATATGCCTGTTTCCTTGTGATTCAAACTGAATTTAACAGGTTTCCCAAATGCTTTCTTACAGGCAGGTGTCATCATCTCCTTATTCAAGCACCAAAGAGAACAAAACAGAGAACACAGGTTGCAAACCTAGGGGTCAGCTCTGGGACAAGAAACACACTACAAATTCAATCTGGGTTTCACCATCAAACTGAAAACTATGAAGAACACGAAAGAATGAAACATTTCAGCTGGTTATGCACCAAAATTAGTGGTCTGTGTTAAATTAGAAAGAGAAAACAGAAATCCCCACAGAATGAAAATTAGCATTCCTACCTGAAATCGAATGGAATTGTTTGCATTAGAAAAAGTCCATGATGATGATGATCTACTCAGAAAGGACAAAGCAAAGAAGATATAACTGAGATAAGCTGTATTAGCAGCATTGTCCATTCCCTATCTTAGAACTGCTATTAAATCAAATTTTCCAAAGCCTACAAACTAAATATACTAAGCTACTCATCAGGATCCTTTCTGCAATAAATTAAGCCTATTATTTCCAATTTGAGGTTACAGAATAGCCTTTGCACAAACCGATTCTAAAAGTTATAAATTTTATCTCCTAGCACAAAGATATCGAGTCAAACACAGCACGCTTCTATTCTAGACTTCATTATGATGGATAATTGTTAATTAGCAGACTGAATACTAGAGGCTCTTTAGGTGATCATTGCCAAATTACATATAATATGTGCAAGCAAAGGTTAGTCCCAATGAATAGAATGTATAATTGGTGCTTCACACGATCTCACTTTGCCTTATGGAAAGTGTGCAAAATAGGATGGGAGGAAAGATGCAAGCAGAAAATATGAACAAAGATTGGAAATTCTGTAAGAAGATTATTTTTCTTTTTCTGATGCACCAGAATCCATAATTCTAACACCAAGGAAGGTAATTTTTACCAAAACTCCAGCCTGGATCAGTGGTAAAGTGAGAAAAACTAGCTATAAAACCTAGAAAAACTAGCAATTATAATTGCTACAGATTTTTTACAGGCTAGCAAACTGCTTGGAGAAACCAAGGACACCACAGAATGGGCCTTAGCTTGCAGGCAAGAAGGGAAGGAGTCTTAAAAACACAGGGCATCAAGGAAATGTTACCAGTAATTTAATCTCATTAGAAGGTGGAGATAGTTAATAAAGATGTTAATAATAGCTAATAATGATGCAGAAGACAGAAAATGTTCATCCCATTGGGGATAAAATCCTCCATGTCCTCTGGGACAGGAATGGAGCAGGGCCACCTTCTGGGCTGCCATGTGGGCCTGGACCATCCATGAGGCCTCACAGACCCTGAATAAGAGGAGAAATACCTAGAAGGGGTTTAAACACACATTATTAATAGTAATAAACATTACTGGGAGGCTGTGGGAGTTTTTCCCCTTGGAATGGTGTATTTTTGAAAGACTTTATTGCTCAGTTTTGGCTGGATGAGCAGTGAACACAGAGCATCTATCCTGCCAGACATCTCAGAGGAAGAACTCCACATACAGCCACTTAACCAGGAACTGTGACCCCCACAGCTTCTTTATGGGGTGATTTTACTCTGTCCTCTCTATTCTGTTCCACTGTTGGCCTTCATGGTGCACTCAATGGCTGGGAATTGAAATATGGCATCCACTAAAGAAGCTGCTGCAGATATTTACGTGACAGGGCAGCATTTGCTAATGCTCCTTTTAGGCTTTTGCCCTGGGGAAAATGAAGATTGCTTGATTACAGTCACGCAAGAGGATAGCTCTGGGTCCCAGGTCCATGTCTGGGATATTATCTGCTTCAGTACCTGCGGGTTCGGGCTCCTTTCTGCCTGGGATATCGACTGCCTGCTCAGCCACTTGGCCTTTGTATTTCAGGTTGATACAAAAGGTCTTTATTGACAGAAAACAAATCAGTGCCTAATGCAGGATCTTGCTTGTCTCACTGGGACTGGAGTTTTTGTCTCCTTCCTGTGCCTGCCAAAGACTGAGCTGTTGGATCTCTCAAAATTATCAACACAAGGTGATAATTTCTGTCTTTCTGGATGGAGCTAAACTCATGTTTGCATTGAGACCTGCCACTCCCAAAATCTTACACTCCTTATATGACCATATTCCTTTCCTGACAGATATTTTAAATGTTCTCCTCTGTGGTCTTTATCCTTGGAAGTAATGTGATAAGGATTTCTTAATTATTTATCCTCTGTTCAACTGCTACCAATGGCACGTAGCTCCTGTGCTACACATTCCTGTGAGTTCTTGGCTTCACCAAACAATGCAGAAAAAAAGGGAGGAGAAGACAGAACAAACTCCAGAACTGAAGGCAATACTCTCAATTTGTTTCTAAGCAGCTCCGTTTTCAGATTCTTGCTTTAGCCACACCTGGGTAAATGCATTGACCTTGATTAACTTCAGCAAGGCTGTGCTGAGGGAACTGTGCCTAAAAAACTTGGTGGGGCTCTGGGTATGCAGCAGCATGTGCTGCATTGTGTGCACACATAATCTGATCCACCAGCTCATCTCTCTGCAGAATTCTACAGTGTATTCTTAGTAACCATAATAATATCTTGGCTGATAACACATATGCATTTTTGCATAGAATTATTGCAATCAGAAGCTTCACCTGTTTTTCCTTTTGATAGAATATCTATAGTATCACCTTTTTATTTTTCCTCCTCCCTGTATGAAGTGGGAATCTAATATATTTCCTTATTTGTTTTCCCTGAAATTTGATAATTAACCAATCTTTTTAAGATGCTACCTATTTAGTATTCATTTATTCTCTGTGGTGGACATGAGCATTGCAGATGAGGGACTTCCATCACTAAAACATCAGAGAATGATCAGAGCAGCATGTGAAGTCTTTGAATTATCACTGCCTGGTCTCCCATGTGCACCCCAGAGAAAGCAGTCAAGTCATGAAAAAAGGTGTGTTTTTAGTAATGTTCACACAAAGCTGAACATTTGGGTCAGTTTGGCCTTCCAGAGAGATGTGACTATGTCAGAATATGATGCTTCTGGGGTTGTGTGAAAAAAACAGGCCAAAACCAACCACTGCAGCCTGTCTTGCATGACTTCAGAACCAGAGCTACAGGAAATCAGGCATTGCCCTTCCATTGAAAGGTCCAGCAGGACAGCCTGTGCCTTTTTTCTTTTTTGGATAACATATCCAAATAAATAAACTAGAAAAGAATCCACAAAACAATTTTTGAAATATTTTGTTTCAGGAGAAAAAAAAATCAGATCTGAAGCAGTTCAGAATTAAATTTTGTCTCCAGACAGTGTCACAGTGTTTTACCTCTGGGAGGGATTGCTGAAGGGCTTTGGTAGCAAAGCTCTCCATCACTGCAGATTTCCCCTGGTTGCCTTCCTTTCTGAGGTACTACACCCACTTTCTCTTCAGTAAATATGATCAGTCCCTTCCCATCTTTTAATCCTGAGTAAACTCACCAGACTCTCCAGTGCAGTTCACATTCTCTGATGCCAGCAGTGTGATACAGTCATTTTTATAGCTCACATAACAATATAAAATGAAACAAACCGAAAATCCGAATGCATTTCTGCTTGTGCAGGCAAATTCAGCCAGAAGATTTAAAACAGCTTAATGAAATAAAATGGTTTCTGACTTCCATCCATCTGTGTTTAAAACCCATATAAAATACATGAGGAGGAAAATCAACAGAAAGGATATGAATGTACCAAAATTTTAATTGCTGCTCTTCTGATTGGATGGAAAGGACTAAGTATGTACAAGGCAGGAGTGGCACTAAATCGAAAGATTGTCTTCCCTTTGTTCAGTACTATAAATGTCTGGAAAACAAAACAGAAAATGAGAACATTCAGTATTTGCATTTATGCTCAGCTTTTCAAGCCCACATCCCATTGGGAAATTCCTGCCAGCATCCCATAGTTTTCCCCCCTCCCAAGACCCCCCAAATCCTTCTCACTTGGTGAAAAGTTTAGTCCAAGGCCTTCCCTACAGAACTGACTGTCCTGTTGTAATATCCCAAGTATTTTTTCTTTCTTCAACCCTTAGTGGGTCCTGTGTCATCACCTCTACCATGGGGCTGGGAATAGAGCAGAATTACCTTCAAAAATAAAAACTTACCTGGAGACTGAAATGTAGGGGAAGAAATTATGTAATACTCTTCTTCCCAGGTGCTCCAGATCTCACTATGTTGTACTTTGAACACTTTATTGCTCTCAATTTTGTCTCACCAAGCAAAAAGTCGTAGGAGGCACAGTTCCACACTAGGATCTGGCACTGAAGCACTCTCATTGTGCTCAGATGAATATGGCCAGACAAAAATAATTCTCTGAGTTATCTTAAACCAAAAACAAAAGTGAATTGAATGCTGACCCAATTTGCAGAGCTCTGAAGATGCCCCACCAGGCATAGAGGAAACTAATATTCTCTCAGAGACAGAACTGAGATACCCAATATATAAAATCTAAGCAATTCACACACCTTGAGTCTAAAAACTTCATGGCACTAAAATTGCAAATCCATATCCTGTTGCTTATGCCCAGGGATAGTAGGCAAATTAGAAGGTAAATTAATTCTGGCCCTTCCAGGGAAGTAATCTGTTTGTCTTTATCCATTTAACTTTTGTTCTGTAGTTCTAACACCTATCTCTACACTGTTTTAATAGAAGCACCATTATGGTCACATTAATTCATTGTTTACAGGAAATAGCACTTTTCAGGAACAGCAGTACCTGAAAAAAACTGGAAGGTGCCTAAAAAAACAAAGGGCTTCCAAGCTCTATTTTGTCCTCTGTTTTGTGAAATGCTTGGAAAGGGGAATGAACTGTAGTAAGCAACCAGCCCAGCTCTGCTGTCAACAGCCTTTTGACAGAAGCTGTTTGCGCTGCTGTGGCTCTGGTCCAGCCTGCACGTGATCCCTCATCAGGTGATGCTCGCTTTGGGACAAAGTTCACCATTCTGCAAAGTGCCAGCACTGCACATGCTGCTCACACCTCCCTCCTGCTCTGCTTTGGTCATCTCAAATGGAGTTTTGCTCTTCCTCAGCAGGAGCAGAGCTGCTGCTCTCCAGGAACGGTTGTGGAGGTGCCTCCTGCTCTTGTGCAGAGTGCTCGCACAAGGCTCAAGTCACCCAGAAGCCCTTAACATTAAGGGGCTTAAGTGATAAACAACAGACCTGTGAAGCCACAGCTCATGCAGAAGGCAAGATAGGGCAGATATCTGGCTTAAATTAACTCAGCCCCTGCTCTGCTCCTTTCAGATATTGTATATTCATTCCCAGGGTTATCTGAAAACACACAAGTTTAAATTATGCTTTTTATCCCTCTCTGCCCTCCTGCTTAGATGTTTTCTGGGAGCCCTGCTCATGCCAACATTCTGATCCTTAATCTGGGAAAGAAGTATTTTTTTACTTTTTGTAGAAAACTAACAAGCAGAGCATGCAAAGCAGAGGTCATGCTTTAGCTTTAGGTTGGCACTCACCTTGCGATCACTGTAGAAAGGGTCGATGTCCTCCAAGGGCTCCCCAATGAGCTCTGGAGAAACAGTCCCATAGATATCAGGCAGCTTCTTGCAAGCTTGCAAGTCAAACTGAGGCTGAGGCTTCTCTTCCTCGCCCAGCTGCTCTCTGTATTCCTGCTTGGCATTCCTGGCCAGCTTCTCTGCAATTCGCTTCTCGATGGCAGCCAAGGACTCGGGCGTGAACCGGTGGAAGCTGTTAGTACCCGGTGGTAACAAGAAGTCAGCCATCTTTTCATCCTGCTTTGTCTTTACTGGTCTTTACTCCTAGTAGTGGAAACAGCTGGAATTAAAAAAGTTATCAGAAGTTAGCGGCGCAAGGAAAGCGAGAAGAGCAAAGCCAGCAGAATGAAAAAAAAACCCACCAAACTCAACTCCCAAGTAACTCGTTATATATTATCAGGAAGATCTTCATCTGTTTTTATGTGGTTAATAGAACATCAAGGAAAACAAAAATGACTGAAATTGTAATTTCAATAAGAAATCACACATTATCAAATCTAGACAGACTTTATAGATAGACTGTGGAATATTCTTCAGTTCTTCAGTCATTTGGGATCCTAAATCCAAACTAAGAAGTAACTTAGATTCACACAAGCTTAAATTTCATTGAAAGCCACAGAGATTCAGATTCCTAACTCATTTTTGAAAATGCAGCTCTGGGAGTGGATGAACAATGTTCCTAAGATGACTGCAAGGCAGATCTAAATCAGCCGATGTCTGGCCACATGATGCAAAATCTAAAAATGCCCCAGCTGTTCTATTCCAAATTTAAAGAGTGAAGGGTCAAGTTTAGATTTTTAAATCCCATAAAAAACCCCTTCATAATCTCTGTCTTAGGCTTCTGTAACATAATTTTAATTTTCCTTTGGGATAGGAAATAGCATCTTCAAGATATCTCCTCAGGACTTTTGAGCATTTTCTTTTCCTCCACACTCTGAAATCTGAAGGATGATGGAAGCTCAAATGTGCCTGGAAAAGCTCTGGGACCTTCATGAAAGCACACCAGGCTTCCAAGATGCTGAACAGCCACTGCTGCCAGCTTGTCATATCTGAACACCAGGCTCCTTTAATCCAAGACCAATTTGAATATCCTGGAGTTGGACTCGATGATCCTTGTGCTTTCCAGCTCAGGATATTCTTTTATTCTACGATTCTAACCCAAACCTGTAAAGCTTAATCATCTTGTCCTGATGGTACTTCAATGTTAACACTTCCAGTCTCTGCCTGAATGAAAACAAATATGAATTTTCCCATCTCTTCAACTTACATGAATAAAACCAAGCGTGAAAAGCACAGCCGAACAAAAAGCCTTCTTGTATCTGCACTAAACAACACGGATAGCTGTGAAAATTAATGTAAAACTACTGTTTGAAAAAGGATGAAGCTTATCCCTGTTCTAGCAGCCTGCACAAATCCATCCAAGTTCACTGAAGCCGCATTTTGCAATTTAAAGTCACTTTAGAGGCATGTTTTTCCAGCGAGAGAAGCCCTCACTCCGCAACAATTAAAACTCATTTCACAGAAGAAACACAGACCTTGTATTTTTGCCACCACCAGGCCATTCATACTCCATCAGAACACACCCTGGTGACAAACAAAATAGTAGATTTTGAGGTGGGCTACCCTCTTTCATTCAGCAAAGTGTGCAGGATCCCACTCTTTGTTCAGGCACAACGTTTGTTTTCTGCTTTCAGATGGAATTTGTCTATTTACAATGGATAGTTCCAGATAGTTTGCGTCCATTAGGCTCTGTGATGACAGCATTTTTGTTAGCAAACAAGACTCTAACTGGACTCTGCATGACAAATAGCATATTTATTGACTCAATTTCTCTGAGTAAAGGACGCTTTCAAATAACTACTGTCTCTCGTATTCTGACTTCATTTTAAAATGAATTCATTAAATTGTCATTGATCACAGTCTATCACACAGGAATGATTTACTGAAGCTTGTACATTATGCTGTGAATTACAGCTGGTTTGAGCAAGCAGGGCTAAAATGAATTATCCTTCCTGGAGTTTGGGGTATTCTGAGATTCTTCTTTTGTTAGATTTATTTTCCTTCTTCCTTTCCCCTCTCCCCTCCATGCCATTTGTTTTATCCCCTTCCTCCTGAAAAACAGGAAATTAGAAGCTTTCCCACAAATCGCGTTTCCTACGCCCAACGCTTTGTGACTCAGTAAATAGAATTTCACTTTCTATAAATGACATCAATACAGGTGGCCAGAGAATTCTCTGAGATTTTTTTTTTTTGTCCTTTCCATTTTTGTTTCTCCAGAATGAAACCTGTCTCAGTGCTGAAGGGGGACAACAAAAGCCAGTGGCTGATCAGGGCTGCTGGAAGGGCAGAGAGGAGGTCTCTAAACCGGAGATGAGAATGGAGAAGCCATTCTGGCAACAGAACTACTTAATTTTTTCCTCAGAAGAGAAACAAACGGATAGGGGATGGTGAGGGAGATAAAATAGCCCAAAAAACCTAATCGGCATCAGAAGTTTTAATTATTTTTTCTAAAGGGAATTATTTTTGCTTAAAGCTCTCTCTCATTAGAAAACTGAATCAAATTCAAACTGGTCAAATCCAGATCTTTTCATTTTTATCGACAATTTCCAGAAAGGTAGCTGCTTAGAAAGAACTGGAAAATCCTACACAAACTTCATTAGCATTTTTTCTAGTCTACTATTTAATTTTTCTTTTTTAAAAAGTACGTTTCAGCACCCTTACAATTGAAAATTGGTGACATGTCTTGTCTTCATATTATACATAAGCTAAAGTTCCACATTTTTATATATATATATATTTAGCACAATTCTTTTTCAATTTCATATGCTTTCAGGAAATGGACAAGATAATTTCATGGGTCTTTTCTATGTCTAATTTCTTTTAATCTGTGAATTGCAAACATTTCTACAAATAGCCAGGGTTAGCCCAGATGTTGCTTAAAAGGGTAAGAAAGCACCACAAGTTAAAAAGGGAAATCATCAATGACTGAATCAAAGGGCTGGAGTGCCATTTCTTAAGAGATAATAGCTGTTGTGACTCACGTGTTTACAATATGAGCCTGGATTTTTCCATTCCTCACAGGCATATTTTTGAAGTACAAGGCTTCAAACACATTGTTTCTGTGATATCACCAGGCACAGAATGAAAATTTCCCTCTTGCTTGGTCAGTTAGCATTGGCTGTTGCTGATAAAATGCACTGGTTATGTAAACAAAACGTGCATATGAAAACAAAGCCCCAAGAAGAATTCTTTCTTTGGTGTGGCCAGAAGTGAGAGCAAACAAATTAGGCATTTATTTAGAAAGATAAATGCCGTTTTCCATTGCAGTTTTAACCTTAGTGTCATGGGATTCAGCCACTCCAGTTCAAGATATCTTTCAGGTTCTCAGAACATCACCTGTGTGCCCTGCAACTCCTTCTGTTGTACCAAGGACTCATGAGCTTATATTTCAGGCCCTTGGCAATGGTAATAAAGAAACCAAACTGGAAGATCAAGGTTGTGAAAGTGTCTTTTACAGACATGCTCATTTTGAGTAGGATTGTCCTCATTTCTGATTTCCAAGATGCCACTCAGGAGGCTACTGCAGACCAGGGGCTGGGGAGAGGGATGTTTGCACTGCAGTTCTGCTAGTCCAAACTCTTACAAAATACTAATCCCAGCCCTAAATTCTCCTTTTGTTGAAGAAATGTTTGTGATTAAATAATGATTTTTGCATGCTAACTGCTGTGGTAAAAAGAACAGTCATGTGGATGGGTTTTCTTTCTGTCAGAGACTACATGGAGCACAGTCATCTTTTCCCCCCACACACTCCTTTTCCATATAATCTCTTTGGCATTTTTCTTTGACCTGCAGAGCACAGCAAAACATGAGAATAGTAGGCTATGGAAATAAAGAATAGAGCAATGACACATCTAATTTAATGTCACTGGTCTAGACTAATAAATTCATAGGCATAAATTTACACATAAACAAAAACACCTAATCAGATTTAAAAAGACTACAAGTTGATATGGGATGACATGGAAGTTTTATTCCAGCCATGAAGTAATGACTTCATGGAGAACTGTTTTTAATTCAAATCAAATAAGTTTTGCAAAAAGATGCAGAAACTAAAGGAGTCTAGGTGACTGAGACTCACTTCATAATTTTACTGACAACAAATGAACAAACAAACAACCTTTTGAGACTTAATCCACTTATATTTACACCACAGTTCACATTCCACAGTGAGGAGGTGTCATGGGAAATTCTCTTTTAACTGAAAAATTTCACTTGCTGTTAGCACACACTTTGAGGGCCTGTGTGCTCACATCAAGGCAGCCCTCAAAAATTTACACAGCACACTCGTTACTTCTGCTTAAGCTGATATTTGGTTTGTTTCTTTTTCCTCCAACAGGCATAATTTTTTTCAAGACCACAAACAATGCTTGTTTTTGCAGCACAAGTTCTTAACACATATAATCAGCCACATCTCCAGCTGACATAAATCAGCACAGCTCTGCCCAGGCAAGTCACACCTGGGGAATCGATCTCTTAGGACCCAGAATATTTGGCTAGAAATGTTTCCTTTGAAAAGAGCACCTTCACACCAGAGCATGAACACCAGATAGTGTGTAATTGAGGTATTAAACTAATGGCCTAGAAGGTAACCAGGCTTGCAGGGAGCTGGAAAACCCTGAGCTTTTTGCACCCTGTGAAGGCAATCTGCAAATGCTTGTCCAACCAGAAATATCTTGTTGGGTGAGCTCCAAGGTGGAGGTGCAAAAAGGGCACCAGGCAGGCTCCCATGGCTGATCTGCAGGGGGAAACTGTGGAATTCCACAAAAATCTGATGGAAATGGCTGAAACGTTCAGCCATTGGAGCTCTCCTAGGCAAAGCAGTGTTGAAACCTGTCCAAGCTGACACAGGAGGAGATGTGAGCCAGGATTCCTCTTGCTGCCCATGCAAAAGGCCAACCTGCAGGTTGATGTGACATTGCATAACACATTTCCCAAAACAAGCCCTCTTGCTCACCGTGGATGCTGACCAGGGGCAGAAATAAATATGTAAGAGAACTCATTGCATTCAAATTGTTGGGAAAAATCAAACCAAAACAGCACAAAATTCCCAAAACAAAACTTCAGAGTCACAGACCCACAGGCGTTTTGTCACGACCAGCTCTGCCTAGGCAGTGTCTTCTTTCAAATCCAGTTTAATGGGTTTTGCTGGCTGCTCACTCATCAGAATCATGGCATTCTGACATTGCCAATGACTTACTGAAAAAATAAAGTCTGCAGAAA